ATATTAAGGACGTTTGACCATAGATCTCCCAAAAAAAAATTGGGCAAACAGTGTTTGTCCATACAATTTGTCATTATTTGATAAATATTTTTGGCAAATAACTCAAATATAAAAATAGTTTTTGGATCAAATCTCAGTTTTTGAGAGATTATAAAAGTTCAAATTCTACATTAAATTTTTATCTTTTACAAAAACATCTTCTATAGTATTTATTGCATTGTAATTTATACTTTTTACGTGAACACCAAAACAGTAATGGAGTATTCAGTGAATATAAACTTATTGATATGAATTTTGATGAGAATGACGATCAATCAGATCAAGATATAAAGTCCATGCTTCGTCTACTTCACGGTGTATGGAATGATGCTTGTTGCACTCAATCCGAACTATATCACATTGCTCCAGTGTCACGGACATTACTTGTTATTTATTGCAACGAAGATCCAATTGGCTTGTTGTGGAAGTCATGTATCTTGTTACATCTACATTTCTATCTTGCTATGTCATACAAATCTATGGTTAATTTTGATATTTTAAAAAACTTATAGGTATAAATCACATTTCTTAATAAAGTGAAATGTATTCCCAAATATTATGATCAAACACATGGTAAAATTTCATTCAAATAATATTTGTCAAAAATATTTAAAAATACGCTAGCCAATAAACTTCTTAATATAAATACACTATTTACTAAACTTCTTAATATAAATACATTGTTTTTAAATGATATTTACTAAATTGGATCGAATTTATATCCAAACTTTTAGCTCCGTCCCCTTTTCACCCCTATTAAACTCTTTGGGTATTAATTGCTTTTGTTGTTTTCCAACATAAGTTGGACTCAATGTGGTGTACTAAAAGCCAATGCAAGAAAGAGAGAGATTTTGCAGATACAGACATAAATCTGAACTCAGATTATGTCTCTTTAGGTGGACAAAAATGAAACAGAGGAACCAATAGTGGACAAAACAAAAAGCTTGCGCCTTACTTTCCTATAAGTAGTAGATCAACTTTCTCTTTAACTTTTTTTAAAAAAATTACGATATTAGTTTAGATTAATTCCATGAGATATCCAACCATAATTTCCTTTCGACCATTAAGGAAAAAGCACAGCTTAACAAACCCTTTTCTCTTCACTAGTATTTATGAAAGACTGAAATGCAGTGTAAATGAACCACACATGAATTTGTGTAACAATTTTTCTTACAGTGTCATGACCCAAGAACTGGACCTGTAGTTTTGTCCTAAATAGAAGAGAGATGAGTTTAACATAAGTGGTCCAGGGTAGAAATGCCTTCTTTGTCCTATTCAATTCACAATTCAATTAACACCCAACACTTATAATCTAAGTGGTACAAGTGAAAATCTTTTGTACAATCGGTGTGTGAGTTTAATTTTTACTGTTCGTATTCCATATTAGATTCTTCAAAAATGCAAATTGTATCACACTAACAAAGTTGATTCTTTCTGTTCCAATCGCATAGGTTATTACTGGAATTAAACATTTTGTACAATTAGCATCTTTAAACACCAAAAAAGCAATATGGTGAAGGTGAAGAAGAAGAAATGGTGCTAGTGCTTTACTGATAGTGAAATAGATTTGGAGGAACGAATCAAAGTATCTTTCTCATGGGTTTGAATTAGTACACAGCGCCGTCCTGGGCAAAGTATTGTGTGTAGCTGTTTTTGACAAGTAAAAACTCACCACCATACAGCCAATTAAAGGACTGAGGCATCTGGTTCAGCCAGCTTTCTAGATCTGCAGTAAAAACCTCATCATTTAACGGAAGAGAATCTGAGTCTCGAGACTCAGACCCGGCACCAGGACCACACAGATGGTCCCCTCATACTCGTATTACTCCGTTCGTTTTAATTTATGTAATATAATTTTGAAAGATTTGTTAAATAAATGAAATTCATCGAGGATGAAATGTTGATAGTGTTGTTAAATTTGATCAGTTGGGTTTTAGCGTAATATTGATTGAGTGGGTACTGTTTAAGAGCAGTCACAGTTGATTTTGGAGCTTTCCCCTGCAAGGAAATGGTTTGGGAATTATTGGGATTTGTGCACATAACCCATCTCTATATATATATATATATTTTACGGAAAAAGCATAATACATAAAAATGATTATTTAACTTGACGTTAATTGGTAACTGTAATTTTTAACTTTATATGTGTGCATAAGTAGATATATAAAATTAAATAAATTAACAAATTTGTCTTACATGACAATTTTGTGTCCTACATAGCATTCTACGTGTATTATGTCATGTAGGATACTAATGCACATTTAAAATTGAAAGATATTTATTCGCTAAAATTAAATTAAGAGTCATATTTATATATTATATTTACGGAATATGGATTTTTTCAAAAAAAATCAAATTAAATTGAAAATAAATTTTTTCAAATATTTCTTTTAGGACAATAAAAAGGAAATTGAGATCGTGATGATTAATGTCTATCAATTGTAAAAAAAGAGAATTCTTCACTTTTTTCTAAAAAAATAATAATTAATTTTTATATAGTTTACTGAGCCATAACAAATATACAAGGTAGGGGTCACACCAAATACCTGCGACTCAACACAAGTATAATGGAATTAAATTTTAAAAAAATGAAGGAATATATTAGTACAACACTTAACAAAAAGTTGCAAGTAATATTTCTTTTATTACAGATTATTAATTAGCGTGACAAAAATTAACAGATTTTAAAATAGATGACTTGTAATGTACTTGAAAGGTAAATAGGCATGCAGAACACAAGTACAAACATATATTTTTTTCGTTGTTGTTTTAATATTCCATTAATATAACATGAAGAAAAAGGAATTGGCAATTTTGGAATTTCCATTTAGGAACAATAGCCTACTCTTTTAATACCCCACTTGATCGTAATTATCCTTCTTGTTAACAGAATTTTAACGTAAAATAAGTAAATTTTATGTATTTAAGTTCTTTGACCAAAAAGAGAATTATATATACACTTGTTAGTAATTCATTTATTGTATTCATCCTTCTTGTTAATAGTATTTTAACGTGAAATAGCTGAATTTTATGTATCTAAGTTTTTTGACCAAAAAGAGAATCGCATATACCTATCAACTTTTGAGTATATGGTCTAATTAAAATTACTTTCAAATCAAGAACGAAAATGAAATTATTAGCTAGTGCCGCAAGGAAATAGACAAGCAAAATTATGATGTGTGATATAACTAACATTCACTATAAGAAAACAATTAGCGATGGACGAAGTTTCGTAGTTAAATAATAAAAGTTTCATGCTAATTTCATTTAATTGTAGACAAACGATGAATTATATAAAAAATTAATTGACTTGAAGCTATAAAGGACGAGTTAACTAGATATTACCGATAAATTTCATATATAATTAATTGCCTATTATATAATATTATTTACATTTTCCATTATAAAAATGTTTTCCTATCACATAACAAATTACAAATGTAGTAAATAAATGAAAAACCATATATGTAATATTGATAGGGTAGAAACTTATTCATATCAAACATTTACATTAATTTGTGCACGTGGTTTGAGTCAAACAGTTTGATTATAGAGTTCGTTTATTTAATTCTGATAAATTATATTGATTCAATATAAATATTCGATGCAGATAAGTTTATATATTTACACTCGATATATATATATTGACGTGCAAGAAAAGAGAGTAGCTAAGGTCAATGTGTGCATACAAGAAAACACCTTTCTTATTGTTGAGTATATATATATATATATATTATTTTTCTCATGTTGAAAAAAGAAAATGTTGAAGCAATGATTTGTTACTAATACAAGATAGATTTTTGGGTGTTTTTTTTCTTTCTAGGAGTATACACTTTTGGGTCTATGTATGCTATTTTTTCACCTTGAAAAAGAATATTTCTGCAATGATTTGTTACTAATTATGTAAGATATATATAGTCATAGACTATATAGCTAGGGGGACCTCAATATATATAATTAAAACAAAAAAAAAAAACAACATATCCATAAGGTCCTTTTGTTAAACTGCATTTATTTGATATACTTGTTCTCAACTGACAATACACAATCATCTCTTTTGCTGTTTTAATAAAAGTAATGTATGGAGAATTACAACTGTTTGTTTAGGCTCTTCACAACCTTTTAATGTTGTTTTTTCTTTACCGTAGTGAGTTTGACTAATATTTAAAGATGTTTAATTGATTCGATATATGATGTTTGTGATATTTTATAATAATTTTAAATTAATTTGTTACAATAATTGATTTTATTAGGCAATATGTGTATATAAGTAATATTTTTTTAGTTATTATGAATCCATAGATTAAACTTTAGGTTTACATCTAATTTTCCAAGCTTCTAGAATATCAGCTTTAGAAAATGAGTGTTTGGCTAAATTTTTGGAAGAAAAAAATGAAATGCTCTTTAACATAGTACATGTACCAAAAGTTTTTTTTTTCCAAAAAGTTAAAGAAATTTAGCTTTTGAACACAAATTGATTGTTCTTTTTTAAAAATATTTTATAAATAAATAAATTTTGGAAATTTGACATTAGAACTGTACATTTATCCTTCAAAGGTTTTTGAAACTCTTTAAAAATTTGAGGGACAAGAAACAATAATAAGAGCTTGTTTGAATTGATTTAAAAAATGTATTTAAATTTAAAATAAAAAATTATTTTTGATTTTTAACTTATTTTATGTCATTTTTAATCCTGCGAAATATTTTCTAACTTAGTTCAAGTTATTTTTATATTTGTCAAACGCTTTTAGAAGTTAGAAATAACTCAAAAATAGATTTGAATAACTTTTAATCTAATCCAAATACAAATACTCGATAACTCGTTCGTCAGTACTGTTGAATACTTAGACTCCTGTTAAATTCAATTTGCTATTTTCCCTGTAAGATTCTTTTAGCAGAGAAAAATAATAAATTCAATTTGCAATTTTCTTTGTAAGATTCTTTTAACAGAGAAAAATAATTAAAGTTTGAAGAAATAATTATATTAATTAGTTTTGTGCAAAGACCTTTTTTTTAATGTATCACATATTACTTTTCTGATCTAATTAGAAACCAGCTCAATAATTAGTGATCATAAATAGATAATCAATAAACAATTTAAATTATATATACTTACCGAGTAAAATATTTTTATACTATTACATCATACTGTCATGTGTTCCTTATTAAATATTACAAAGAAGGGCTAATATGTAAATATCTTTGAATAATTATATCGTTAATACACATCTTAATTAAATTAATAAATAAAATATTTAAAAATTATATATGCTCAATTGTAAATTACTTTTTACACGTCAACAACAAAAATATTTAGCAAAATACTACAAGACAAATTTGGGAAGAAGATAGTGTATGAATACCTTATCATTAACTCGTGAAGTTATTTTAAAAATTCTAGACTCAATTTCATCAAAATTCAAATGTAATAAAACCCAATATAAACACCATAGAAACTAACAAATCATTCCAAAAAAAAAAAATTAAAAAAAATCTACATGTACCTGAGATTTAAATAAAAATTATTACTTTAAACTCAAATAAAAGAAACTTAAACCACCAGAAATAACTGTTAATTTATAATTGTACTATATATATCACTTTCCCTGGTCAGATTAAAAAAAGAAATTAAAAAAAAAAAATAATCACATATTATGTGTGTATAAAAGACAACAAGATCAGTAACAGATAAAAACACCATAGCTAGCCAGACCATGTTCTGTTGCATTTCTCATCTGTAGTCTCTCTGGTGTTTTTTCTCTGCACCAAAAACACCTTTCTTACTGCCTCTTCCCCACCCCACCAACTCACAAAATTTCAACTACTGTTCCATTGAAAATGGCTACTTCTCTTCAGTTTTCTTCAGATCATCACCCTATTCCTCAGGAAAATCATCAAACAACGAACCAGACCTCAACGGGAGGACGTAGAAGGTCGAGTAAAAATGGACAGAAGAAGAAGAAGCAACCACAAAGAGGAATGGGAGTTGAACAACTCGAACGTCTTCGAGTACAAGATCAGATGAAAAACAGTACTATCCATGGCGTTCATCATAATCATCAGTACTACTCTAATAACAATTTCCCTAAATTAACTCCTGTTTCATCATTTACCGGCGGTGGTAGTGCTAGTGCTGATCCTGGAAATTATAGTAATTCTATTTTGAACTCTTCACCAGTACTTCAGTTCCCCAAATTGTGTGCAGTGAGCCCTAATGATTTTTTTATGCAACAAAAAGTTGTGAATACTGGGTTTATTGGATCTAGTAGTACAAATCAGTTGATGATTTCTTCTCATGATCATCATCAGTTTCAATCTCAGATGAATCTCTACGGATTTGCAACTTCTAAGCCCAGTACTGAGAAATCAAAGGAGCTGTATCCAATGCCAAATCTGTTTAGCAGCAACAACTCTTGTTTCTCCGATCGCTGCCGATCATGCAACAAAGTATGAGTATATAAAACGCAAATGGTTCTCCTTCCATTTTTTTAAATTTAATTTATAATTTTGCTAATTTATTCACATTTTCCTTCTTCGTTATCATAAGAAGAAACGCATGATCAATGGAGAAGAAATTAGCGTTCATATGGAGGACATGATCAGAGAAAAGGAAGATTCTGGAACAAAGCCTTTGCTTCACTCATACAGTTTACCTAGCCATCAACAAAAGGTAAAACAAAAATAAAATTGCACTAGCTAGCCCTAATGTTATTCAATTGTTCGCTTCGAAAAACTGAAAACTAAGTGATTTGTAGGGCGTAGAGATTGTGGCAATCCATAGAAAGGGAAGTTCATCCGCGTTGTCATCCGATGAAGGAGCAGTAATGATGGAGTATGATTTTTTTCCAGAAAAAATCAGCAGCAAAAGCACTAATACTTACAAAAGTTGTTTCGAGAATGAAGCAACGATGATGAGTGCTTATAATTCACCAGAATCTTCTTCATTTGCTGCTGCAGCAGCAGCAGCTGGAAATATTATTAATGGTGAAGCTTCTTCTGTTACTACAATATCTTGGGCTGCAGATACTACTACTACTTCACCTACCAGTTCCATTGATCTTTCACTGAAGCTTTCTTGTTAGTTTTTTTTTTCTACAGAATCATTTGAAAAAGTATATGGTTTAATTTCTCTGAATTTTGTCTTTTCACACTTGTGTGAAAATTTATCTGATGAAAAACCCAAACACTACTTTATTTTTACCATTTTGGTTTATCTGAATTAGCTAGTACTACTTGTTATTACTTCTCCAAAATGGAGCAATACATTTTCTGGGTTTTTATTGTATCTATATCTCTTTCTCTCTACTCTTGGGATTGTGTGTCAGTGAGATGTAGATGCTTCACTATTTTTTTTCTTTCTAGATCTTATATTTATTTAAGAGTTCATGATCAATTGTTTCAAATTATGCGGGACGGATTGAAAACAACAACATAGACTAAAATTAGTTTAGATGTATAATAACGTAAGCTGATCCGAAGATCACGATTATAATATAGTATAAATAACATATCCAAAACCTATCTTTTCTAGAATCTAAAATCTATAAACTCCTTCCTGTCTCTATGTCTTAATCTGTTGCAAGTCCAGTGGAAGCATAATCTACCAAAACCCTAGCAAGCTAGTATTTATTATGGTGGGGTGGGGGTGTAATTAAACAAGGGGGGTAGGTAATTAATATTCACAAAAGAGAGAGCTTGTATATTTTCCTTAAAAGGGGTAGCCACTAATTAAACCAAAAGGAATACAATAGAAGAGTATCTCTTTATGGGAGTCAAGCATAATATACTGATCAGACACTAAAAAAACAAAAGAAAAAAAGTGCTTTATGGCAGTCTAGAAGTGAGTATAGATGTAAATTATTTTACTTTTTATTATTCAAAATTATTTTTGATATCACATGAACTGAGACAGACGAAAAAAGATAGGCAGGCTTAATGAGAGTGTAAAAAGTGAGTGTTCAAAAAAGGAATGGGAAAGAGGCAATAATAGGTATTCAGTAAACCGTATATATGTAATCCATGAAAGTAGTCAGTAGTGTTAGTGTATATATGAGCTTCAACTGGTGGCTCATTGTAGTAGTAGATCGATGTGGCTATTTGCAGCCTGCATGCTAGCTAGCTGCTTTAATTTGTGGCTCTGCTTCAAGTACCCTCATGCATGTAATGAGTGTTAATATGCAGTGAGACTCTCAGTAAAAACTTAGGGCTACTCAACCTTTTTTTTATTACTTGCTTGATGTTCGATATTCATATTGAATTTCATAAGATTTTAATATTTCAATTAATTAACAATATGAACTTCAATATATCTTTATCTAGAGAGGAATAGCAGACTCGTGAGCTCCAATAAAGTAGAAAGGATATGTGCCACCTTTCATCCATTAGCAATAAGTACTAAATATATTTATCAAGGTTAGGAGAGAAAGGTAAATGTGTTATTTTCATTAGCAATAAGTACTAAATAACTCTATCCATCAAAGTTAGGACAACTAAAAAAATCATCTATACTAAATAACTCTACCAAGAAAGAGTACCTTAATTTTTTTTAGATGTCGATTAAATAACGTAACTTTTTTCGAAAACACGTATTAAATAACTCCATCGACCAAGGATAGGACAAATAATAACTCTATCCCCCAAGGATAAGACAGATGGAAAGAATTACCTTCAAAATTTTTAAATGTTGATCAAACAACTTCTTTCTTTCGAAAACTTCGAATCGGAATAATGAAAAAAACGTGGACGGCAGATTCGAACCTGCGCGGGCAGAGCCCACATGATTTCTAGTCATGCCCGATAACCACTCCGGCACGTCCACCTCATGCTTCTACACAAACCTTTTGTCACTCATCAACAGTTAATCAATTATTCCCCTTCTAGATTCTCTCATATTCCTCCTCCTCCTTCTTCTTCATCATCAAATAGAGCAATTCTCGCTGCCATAGCGATAAACAAGCATCAAATCAAACAAACAAAATCAATTCAAAAGAAAAAAAAGGTCAACTCCCCTAAGAATGCAGCAACAACCCCCATCCCCCACCCCCGATTCCGATCTCCCCCGTCTAGCTAACATCAAAATCAAATCATCTTCTCCACGTTTTCCCCCACCCACCACCCCTTCCATCACTGATACACCTACCGCCGGAGCTCAGCGGAGGATCGGAATCGCCGTCGATCTAAGCGACGAGTCTGCTTTCGCCGTTAAGTGGGCTGTGAATCAGTACCTCCGTCCTGGTGACGCTGTTATCCTTGTTCACGTCCGTCCAACTTCCGTACTCTACGGTGCTGATTGGGGATCTGTTGAGCTATCTATTGTTGATACGGAGAATGAGGAGAGTCAGAGGAAGCTTGAGGATGATTTCGATACGTTTACTACTACTAAAGCGTCTGATTTAGCTCAGCCTTTGGTTGATGCTCAGATTCCGTTTAAGATCCATATTGTTAAGGATCATGATATGAGGGAGAGGTTGTGTCTTGAGGTTGAGAGGTTAGGGCTTAGTGCTGTTATTATGGGGAGTCGAGGATTTGGAGCTACGAAGAGGGGGAGTGATGGAAGACTTGGGAGTGTTAGTGATTATTGTGTTAGGCACTGTGTGTGTCCTGTTGTGGTTGTTAGGTATCCCGATGATAAGGATGCTGGAAATGCTGTTGTAGAGCCCGTGGTTTCTGTTGCTTCAGCTGCTGAAGAAGACGAGGAGGAAGCTGAGTACCATGATGCTTCTGAGGATCGAAAAGGTATGCCGATTGTTACTATTTTTCATTTAAGCATTTTTCTTTATTTGGATTATCAAATGTTGTTCTTTATGCTTATTTCTTCATTATTAAGTATTCTATTATGTTTCTGATGATCTTCATGTATAATAGCAATCAGTTAATGTTGTGCTTCCTTGATAGTTTTCTCCTTTAACAGTTACTCTGCTCCTAAACGAACAATCAGGTTAGAGAGGACTGATTTCTTGTTAATTTTCTGTTTGATATTGGACATTGTACTATAAAGTTAAGTTCAACTACGTAGGAGTAATATTAATTGAGAAGTTGAAAGGAAGTAAGTGGGGATACTGAATTCGAAATTCAGCATTCCTCCTTCCTCCACTCTTAACTGAAAAAAAAGTGAGGTCTTTGCCTCCCCGACCATTGCTAGTTCCTCCATCCTCATAAAATTTTCTAGTACATTTTCATCCCCATCTTTTAATAGGTTTAGTTTATGTTTCTGTTCCTGTTATTTGTCTTGATTGACAAAAATAACCGGTTCTATTTTGGAATGTTGCAGGCTGTTTTTGTTTAAATATATAAGGATGAGCTTAATGCTTTTATGATTCATAGACTTGATTTCCGTAATAATTTGGGGCAAAATGTAATGTGGTCATGATTGTTTTCTCTGTTATTGACATCATACATAGGAATCCTGGGTGTATAAATTACCAGAAATGTGAAAAGGAATTATTTTGGGGTAGGCAGGTACTTAGTTCTGAGAGAATAACACAGGGTAAGCCTGTTTTAGAATAACAGTCATGTGAGTTAAATCCTAAAGCTAATTCTCTTCTAGTTTCCAAATGTCGTGTTGTAGTAAATTCGTGTTTAAGTTCAATTTAAGGTTGGACTTATGGGTTGAAAGGTCCAAAAATACAAAAATGGTTGGAATTATGAGTTATCTTGAATCAACCAATCCCTTACCCAAGACAAGATCTCGAATCAACCAATCGTCATATATTTCATTGGTTTGTTACCTAACCACGACTTTAGGTTTTCTCTAAGGGGATTACCATCTTTCAATGAGTGAACTGGTGGTAAATCTGATCCTAGTAATAAAAGAAGAAGAGAAAGGAAAAAAAGAAGAAGAGTGAAGTTGTGATAGATTAAATGCCAAGTCCAAAGCCGCCTTTTCAAATTTGTCACCTATCAAGCGACATGCATGCCCTAATTTGGCATTTCCAAGTGTGAGCAAAATCCAAGGTCATCTTTTTAATGATTTGGCTCTGCTCTAGTCTTCTAGATGCTGTTCTTTTATCATCCACATGCTTACCATGAAACTATTAACTTACCTTAAGATTAGTTGGGAAAGAAAAAGTGTACATAAAGAGTGTTTTGGTTCTGGGTGATGAAAAGATAGACAACCCTATAGTGTATATGCTTGTTAAGCCAGAAAGATCTCCTTTAAGCATGGAAAGTGGTGTAGACATTTGAGGCTATTATTATCTTATTATCCATCAGATATTTAGTTTACTTGCGCAGAAACACCGACAATTCTGATTGGAAGCAGGTTTCAGTTCTTTTAAGATGCAGTACTGATTCAGGAAGACGTGGTTTCTTTTGGTTGATTCCCTTTCTGGTTTTAGTCAAGGAATTAATGAAAATAAGATGAATGGTTTTGCATATCCTTGATGCCAGTAATGAAAACATCTAACTTCATCAGAAAAAAGAAAGAAATGAAATGAATGCAACCAATATATGTCATATTTACTCACATTTTATGTAATTTCAATTTCTTCAAGTGATGGCAAGTGTGGAAGTTGCACTAGCCCTTTTCCAAGGATACTCACTTCTTTAACCATTTATGATGCAGTTGCGTCGATTTAAGAAATAAGTTTGTGTCACATTGAAAGTAATTGCCCATTTACCTTTTTGAAGTCTATTCTTCTAGTAGAGTTGATACAAGAGAGAACAGTTGAAGGATGTTATTCAAATCTCCAAATTTACATCAATTTCAGAATTATAAGGAATTTGTTTTCCTAGAGGACGTGTTTTTCAAAACATTTTGACCAACCAAACAGGGGGAAAACACACCATCAATGAGTATGTGAGATTCTGTTTAGAAATGAAATTGTTGTGCAGATAGTTGCAACCTGGCTGAACACATCCTCAGTTGTATTACTTTTTTTCTGTCTTGATCTTCGAGTATCATTAATTAGTTTGTGGAGTCTGCTTTTCAAGATTATTGAGAGGTTTGAATCAACTTTTGTAGCTCCTTCACTTATTCTCATCTCCATTATTTTACGACTCCAATTACTCCCATCTCCTACTGCTTTGCTAAGCTGTTCTTGATTCTTTTTGACAGATTCATAATGAAGGTGGACGAGGTCTTCCCTTGGTTTGCACTTGTATTGACCAGCTTCCTCCAAGAACCAGTAGGCCCTTTGTGACATCTGGAGTCATTTTATGTATATGAACTGTTGTAGCTCGTCTCTCGCAACATCAACTTATTATGGTTTCTTCTTGATGATTGTATCTACTATGGTTATCATCTTCACAATATTGTTACTTGATTGCCTTTGGAT